CACCCACCTCGCAGGGGTGGGGGCCGGGGGGGGAGGACTGTAGGTCCCCCCCCTTATTGTTTTATTAGGGCCCCCACCCACCCACCACGCAGGGGTGGGGGCCAGGGGGTGGGGCCAGTAGGTTCCCTCCATCTTTATTTAGGGCCCCCACGGGCATGGGGGGGGGGTTTATTAGTTTTTTTTGTTTGTTTTTTTTACAGTGAGCAGCTATAAGTTGCTCACTGCTTACTACACATGCCCCTACTCGAGATATAGCGAGTAGGGGCATATTATTTACTAATACTAAGTAATCTTTACTTAGTATTAGTAAAGTTGGCTGTTAGACCAATTTAGGTCTTTCAGCCTTTTAGTAGATAGCTCCCTGATACCGTGGGAATTAGGGAGTTATCTACTAAGCGGCTGCAAAATGCAGCCACAGCAATGAATAGGATCAGAGTTTCATTCATTCGAATGAAATTCCGATCCGAATAAAATGCCGAATTGCGTTCTAAAAGGAACTAACAGACTGTTCTCATTCAGTTAGAACGCAATTCGGCAGTTTAGTGTAAAGTGACAGGAAGCATTGTGGGAACACAGAGGGAAGCTAGGGATCATGGGAAAATTGCTCTGACCAGCGGAAATGAAGCACACTTTGCTCCTCCGCTGGTCAGAGCTGGTCAAGCGGAGGAATTCTCCATAAGGCAAAGAGTCCCTACTTTGTCTTATGATTTTAAAGAAAACTAAAGAAGACAGGAAGAAAAGAACAGATCCTGAGAGAGGGGGAGAAGAGGAAGAGATTGAGGAAAGGTAAGTTCGGCATGACAGTGCCGCTTTAAGCACTGAGAAATCTCCCTACCCCTATACTGCGCATGCGCGGACTCTGATCGTCTGAGTAAAGCCTTTTCTGAGAACAGGTCATTCTCTCCCTGCTCCCAACACTCTCAGCCATCCGAGGGGAGGGGGTACTATATTAGGGGGGTTTCAGTGCATTATATTGAGGAGTGGGGGGGTTTTAGTACATTATTATATTGGGGTCTGCGCTGTATGGGGGTGTGCGCTATATATGGGGGTCTGCTTATATATGGGGCCCAGTATGGGGGTCTGCGCTGTATTGGGGGTCTGGCGCTTGTATGGGGTCTCTCAAGGCTGTATGGGGTTCTGCGCTGTATGGGGGTTCATGCTTGTATAGGGTCTGCGCCAGAGAAGGGGGGTCTGTCAGATATAGGGTCTATACCAGATATGGGGTGTCTATGCCAGATATGGGGGTGGCGCTGTATATGGGGGTGTGCGCTGTATGGGGGTCTGCGCTGTATGGGGGGGTCTGCGCAGTATATTGGGGGGTCTGTGAAGTATATTGGGGTGGCCTGTGTATTAAATGTGGGGGGCAGTGTGTTAGATGGAGGGGCTGTTTGTTACACGTGGGGGGGCAGTGTATTATATTTGGGGGCTGTGCGTTAGATGGTGAGCTGTACAGTACGTGTGGCCTGCGTGTTAGATGTGTACAACCCTAGTTTCACAGAAAAATATTTATTTCCTAGATATCATATGCCAAAGCATGCTTTTTGCTATGAAACCGCAGCCATCTAATCACTCGCCAGAGAAGGATGAGAAACTGCACCCCAGCGAGAGGGACAGCCCCACATCTGCAACCAAATCCGTCGGTCACCGAATTCAGTAATCTCCGTCTCTTTGTGCATTGTGTATGTATGGTACTCCCAATTCTTATATTTAATCCGGTGTGTCTCCCACAATCTTTGTGTCTGTCTGCTGTATGTATGTGGCACGCAAGTCTGCATGCACTGTGTCTGTTATGCCAGTTACTCTAACCAGTTTATTTCTTTTTGTGTGTGTCACAGCTCTGACAAGCATGTTCTCCTATGGGACACGAAGTACATGAAGAGGAATGAAGAAGCCCATGTTTGATGCTCGTCTCCAGGGTGGAGTATTGAATTTATAACTAATGAAGTGGCATCTGACACATGACAAGCTGCTCCTGTTTGCACAGCAACTTCAACATTGTGTACTGTGATCACGGCATAGTTCAGAGGTAGGTAACCTTGGGCAATCCAGATGCTGTGAATTACATCTCCCATAATGCTATCAAACCATTATGGGAGGTGTAGTGCAAAACATCTGGAATACTGAATGCGGATGAATGCAAAGTATGGTGTGTGTGAATGGTCAGTAACAAGGGTTGAAGCCTTGACGTGGCGTTACTGCTCACATGTGTATTCATGTGCCAATTCAACCAATGTGAGTCACTGTAATACTTATAAGGTAACCAAAAGTACTGTGATTGTGGAGAATGAAACACCTGTATCACCTACACACTGTTTACACTGTGACCGTATCTCCTAAACACTGCTGACACTGTGACCATATCTCCTAAACACTGCTGACACTGTGACCGTATCTCCTAAACACTGCTGACACTGTGACCGTATCTCCTAAACACTGCTCACACTGTGACCGTATCTCCTAAACACTGCTCACACTGTGACCGTATCTCCTAAACACTGCTCACACTGTGACCGTATCTCCTACACACTGCTCACACTGTGACCGTATCTCCTACACACTGCTTACACTGTGACCGTATCTCCTACACACTGCTTATACTGTGACCGTATCTCCTACACACTGCTTATACTGTGACCGTATCTCCTAAACACTGCTGACACTGTGACCGTATCTCCTAAACACTGCTCACACTGTGTGACCCTATCGCCTTTACACTGCTTACACTGTGACCCAATCGCCTATACACTGCTCACACTGTGAATGTTAGTTTTTTCAAGTTAGTTTTAGTGTTTGCGGTTTCATTGATTTGTTAACCACTCTCCTCAATCTTCTGTTCTGTGTTTTCTTACATTTGTGGGAAGAACAAGGTGATCCTCTCAATTTTACACTCCTTTACTGATGGTTCCAGTGCCAGAGACAAACCCACCACCATTAACCTTGACCTGCTCAAACAGAAGAGATTATCTTCTTCTATAGAAAACGTCCATATGGCTGTTTCGGAACACATGCTGCAGACATGATTTAACCTTAATTTTCCAGTGATTAAGACTCGTGGACCGTCCAGGGAAAGAGACCATTACATTATTAAGATACTACCTTCCTAATGCCATACAGCCTTTCTTTACATGTGATCATGTGATTGAACTTTCTCCTTCTTGGATACCACAGTGTGACTTTTCTTAACCAGTTTCCAAATTTGACTTTTAGATTTTTTCCACTATACATATAAAGTCTAAAATGCATATTAACTTTGAAGAAATAAAGTATTTTGCTGACACCTTAACATGCGATTTGTGTTACTTAGCTACAAATAATACCATCACTAGCT